CCCCCATTTCGCTCTTTTTATAAAGAGAAGGGACGGGGGAGGGCAGGAGGGGACGGAGAGGGGGAGTAGGACTGTGGGAGAAAGAGCGCTCCTTGGAAATTCCGGGATGGAAAATCCCTAAAACCGAACAAGAAAAACGAAACCGGCTCTCCCACCCCCGGAAGCCCGGCCCATGTTGGAATTGCCTCTCTTCTAACTTCCTCTCCCCCGGTTTCCTGCAAGGGTCCGAGTTTCTTTGGGCAGCAAAGTGTCCCGCGAAGGAACTATACAGCGCCCGTTGGGAGATTCTCCTCGTCTCTGGTTGCGCATTTGGGTGCCTGTGTCCCAAAGAGAACGTGAACCAGGAAAGTAAGGAAAAAGAAGCAAAATTAGCCACTTTTTAATCGTTTTAGCATAAAATGGAGATATTCTTCTTCTTTCTGTCAAAATTGATGGGGGAAGAATCGGTTTATCGGACGTAAGCACTGAAACATGGATGTCTACCGTTCAGATTAACAGAGTTAGAAGAGGGACCTTGTAGGTCATTTAGTCCAACCCCCCCCCCCCCAAGTTCCTGACAGATGGCAATCCAGTCTCTTCTTGAAAGCTTCGGGTGATGAAGCTCCCACAACTTCTGAAGGCAAACGGTTCCATTGGTTGATTGTTCTCACTGCCGTAAAATTTCTCCTTATTTTCAGGTTGAATACTCTCCTTGTTCAGTTTCCATCCCTTATTCCTTGTCTGGCCTTCAGGTGCTTTGGAAAACAGCTTGACCCTCTTGTCTCTGTGGCAGCCCCTCAAATATTGGAACACTGGTCCTTCTCTGAACTCTCCCCTCACAATCAGGAGGCTGTGAGTCTCTGATCCTAGGTAGAGGCTGATATTTGGAATAGATTCACCTGCAGAGGGTTGGACTAAATGACCTTCAAGATCCCTTCCAACTCTGTTATTCTATGTTCTATGTTCTTCATAGATTAGCCATGCCCAGTTCCTATAACTGTTCTTCATATATTTTAGCCTCTAGTCCCCTAATCATCCTGGTTGTTCTTCTCTGCACTCTTTCCAGAGTCTCAACATCTTTTTTATACTGTGGCGACCAAAACTGGACGAAGTACTCTCGGTGTGGTCTTACTAAGGCTTTATAGAGGCTTTATGGTATTAGTACCTCACTTGATCTTCAAGCATTCACTTCAGGCCTCATGAATTCAGGGAGACCTTTTCAGCTGGACAGGTGATATAATAATAACAGGGGCTATTATTTTGTTGTTCTACGATGAACAGGCAGAGCTGTCTGTATTCATGTCAAAAAATAATATTTGCTGACTGGGTATAAACATCTTAGGTCAACTTTACAGTGCTGTTGTAATGAGTATTTAGAGAGTTAGCAATACAAACAAAAGACCCTATGAGAGCAATACTAGGCGTGTAGCAATGCTGAAGCTCCCAAAAAGGAAAAGGCTGCTAGATTTGGAATTTTCCAAAAATCTTCATCAAGTCCAGTTACCCGAAGTTGGGTCTCTGTTTAGTCAGTCTGTGGAGAAGATGAGGCGATGTCCTTCAAAGGTCTTGCACCTAATATCTTTGGATAACAGCAAAATATCATGGCATTTATAGTCCCAAACATCTACTGTTTAGAAGACACTGTTGCTGATTCCTGAATGACAATTATTTTGGCCAGCCTCTGTTCTGTCTTGAGTGTAGGGGACGTGTTCTGCCCAAGGCTTCCTAGACCATAGTTACGCACACGCTTATTTTAAAAACGTCTTATTTTGTTGCAATGCTGGGAATTGTTTTCATTCCCAGCCTGTAATGAATCTCAAACAGTCCCTCGAGATAAGCACCCACCTTTCTTTCCCGTGAAGTGCTGCCAATAACAGAAGTATGAAATGAACTAGGAACAAAAACCCCAACTGAAGTACGAAGAATGAATCTGAACGGAATGAACTACTTTGCTTCCTGCAAAGGTTTTATCACCTTTACTTGTCCTTTATACCTTATGGGAGGGCAATCACCTCCCAGCCTTACTCCCGAGTTGCCCCTTATGTTTCAGCTGCTCTTGCCTTCTAGCAGCTCAGCACACATGCGCACTGGGAATAGGCTCCCCTGGGTTGTCTGCCTGGCTGCTGCCAGACTCCAAAGGCTCCGGAGGCAGCACCCCACTCCCAGATGGTCCTGGCCCCATCTCTGCATCGGATGCAGGACCCTCGTCCAAGTCCTCTCCAGACTCCTGGACTGATCCCCTTTCTTCCCCACTGTCCGATTCTGCTGCCATCTGCACAGGCTGCTGGCGAAGCCCAACAGGATGCCAATACACGTAGTCCTCAACTTATGGCCACAACTCAGCCCCAAATTTCTGTTGCTAAGAGAGACATTTGTTCACCAAATTTTGCCCAATTTGATGACCTTTCTTACCACGGTTGTTAAGCGAATCCCTGCAGTTTTTAAATTAGGAGCACCGTTCTTAAGTGAATCCGGCTTCCCCATTGATTTTGTTTGTCAGAAGGTCACAAAAGGAGATTGTCTGACTCTGGGACATTGCAACCATCATAAATATGAGCCAATTACCAAGCGTCTAAATTTTGATCACATGACCATGGGGATATTGCAAGGGTCATAAGCGTGAAAAATGGTCATAACTCACTTTTTTTCAGTGCCATTCTAACTTTGAATGATCACTAAGTACATTGTTGTAAGTTGAGGACTAGCTGTATAAATGCATATATTGGAAGAAGACTGCAGACCTGCAGTTTCACCCAAGCTCACAAATAGTAGGATCTTCTGAAAATAAGATATAACACATTTATTTCCTCTTCAAATGAATTTTTCTTTTTGCACATTTATGGAATTTCCACATTCCACAATTGTTTTTACTTTCCATTTCTACAAAGTGCTTTAAAGGTGATTTGATAAAATATTCTGCCTCTCTTCATCTCACAAACACCTGGAGGGAAAAAAATGAGCAAAGAATGGCTGCATCTTAAATAGTTTGAAGTCTTACCTTATTATTAAATACTTTAAAATGTTAATCATCAGAAACAGGGTGGGAATTAGATCTTTCTGTTCAAAACTAGCAGCTGTCTGTGAGTATTTAAAACAATGCCACACTAAAATTTATCCAGATTTTGCTTTCTTGGTCTTCCCTGAGCTGCTGTTTTATTATTTATTTATTAATTTAAAAGAAATTACTATGGTAGAGGTTTGGTGATATCTACAGTAATATTTGGTATAGACCATTTTATAGTAATATTATTTATTATTAAACCATTTCATAAGTGTAATATGTAAGGTCATTTTCCCCCTCCTTCATTTTCTATGAATTTTCTTCTTTAAGTTTAACAATTGTTTTATTAATGGTATATAGCTTTTTTATAAGTCTACTTAGGTGTTTTTGTTATTGTTTTTTCTTGAAATTTTTAAATGAAATTTGAAAAAAAAATTTTTTTTAAAGATATGCCTCTGAGCCTTCACTAGCTACAAAAATCTGATTGTAAGAAAAGCTATGCCAGGATGGTTGAAAGATAAGATCAATCAGATCCACATGTGAAGAGTTCAGTTACCTTTTTTATTGCTCAGGCCTATGCGTAAAAAACTTCTCAAACTTATACCTGGGTGAGACTAGATAAGATTCAACAGCATTCAAGGGGTGGATCGGATTTCACTCTCTTGTGCCCACATAGGGATTCCAGACTAATTCCCTGTTTAACTCCTTCCTCCGACAGTCTGACTCTCACATTAACAGGCCTATTATTTTGCTGTTCTACAATGAATAGCCAGCTGTCTGTGTTCATGTCAGAAGCACTGGTAAAGTAACCGAAGGGTGCTTCTGGGTTGGAAGGATTTTGTGATGACCTGGAGTGTAACACAAACATAACAAAATCCAAAACATAAATAAATGTCCTTTAATGCCTCCAACTTGGCCCCACTGTTCAATAATTCTCAGTTGGAGATAAAATTTACTCAAAAATAGTCTTCAAAAGAAAGCAATACAGTCCAAACTTAATGAGCAGATAGAGGTGAAACAAAAAACCAAACAAACTACAATGACCAAATTTCCGCAATGGACCAGGATAAGTAATTACCAAATTCAAGGAGATAACAAGGCACAGTTTGTTGGAAGGATGTCAACCAAGGTAACTTCAGCCCCAAATAAAATACGCTTTGCTTCCGGCAACACTGTGTTGTAATCATCTCTCTTATATACTTGTCTCCCCAGCTGCAACCAATGAGGAGGATCATGGCCGCTTCCTCTCTTGTAAGCCAAGTTGTTTCCTTCTCCATTCCTCCCCATGTCTAGGATGCAGAGGGGTTGGGCCTGGTTGTTCCTCTGACTACCCAGCCGGCCCCTGCCCTTCCCCAGCCTCCTCCAAAACCTCTGGAGCCACACCTCCACTCCCTGTCAGCTGTTCCTCCTTTCCCTCAGAGTCCAACTCTACCAAGAGCATGACAGATTTGCTTGTGACCACACCATTGTCCAGGGGTTTGCCAAAAGTAACGCAATCTTTGGGGATGCTCTTTCATATCTTCTCACATTGGGAGGGCTGTTGTAACTTTGAACAGTTGCTAAGCAACTGTTTATAAATCAAGGATGATACTCTTAAATCCTTAAATGTAAGATGATAATCTTAAATTCCTAAATGAGAAGGCACAAGCCTCATCTGATGTACTACAATATATTTATGAATTGTATGAACAATCTGAAAGTGAAGATTGACCAGCTAAATTACTCTTTATTTAAAAAAAAACAATAATATAATAATTCCACCTTCAATTGAACAGTGTGTTGTCTGGATACAAATACCTTTGTAAAACAATAATAAACATTGCAGCATCATTCATTACATTAATATTAATTCTACAATATTAAAATAGTAATATTCAACATACTAGTCATAATATTTACTTATCTCTTTTAACATACCTTCTTTATTTTGTTTCCGTTTCTAACTTCCCTTTTTATTATTTAACCATTGATAAAATAGATCCCAAACCGTATAGTATTCAGTTTGCTCTTTCTCTTTAATTGCCAACATTAATCTGTTCATTTCTGCACATTTTAATATTTTCCTAATCACATTCTCATCTGTAGGTATCTCTTCACTCTTCCAATAAAGTTACTCTTTACTGTTTCATTTTGCCAAACCATTTCTACAGTTTCGTTTTCCTGATATCTTCATAATTGGATGACTGCCTGTTACTTACAAGATCTAGAGTCTGACTAACAGTGCTGGAAACCCTGCTTAATTCTAGGAAATAAAACCAAGTTATTTTAATTCAGGCTTGGAAGATAGTCCAAGATAAAACAAATGATTACCTTCTCCCATCCAAAGATG